CCACAAAGCAGTGGGGAGCAAGTCCAGCTCGGCAGTGTGATTGTAGAGATTCATTAGGATCCGCTTGAGGCCAGTCACACACAGCCTTTGAAGATTTGGAGTAATTCACATGCATTTTTTGCGACCGTATTACGCAACGCACCTGCGATCAGGTGGGAGTTGACGGGTTTGCACCAATTTGCTCATGAGCTGCCTGACTTGAGGCGGTCGGTAGCAAACTACTGAGAACCCGAAGGTTTCTTCGCACCGTCAGAGACAGTGCGTGGCGCTTGGGCTCTACGCCAATCGAGCTGTGAGCTTATAACCCTTAGACCTGTTGTCTCCCATAGCTAAGTTTTAAGGGAAGAGGGCCATCGACCTCCGAAGAGGATCGGATTATCCGACTGAGTTATTGTGACCCCTAACCATTGACCCGTTTGATATGAGTGGCTCTGAGTTGGGGCATTGTCGCCAGGTGATTGGCCGGTTCCCAGCGGTCTCTTTCAATGCAGCCCCGCATGCACAGATAGGGCGCGGCGTGGCAGTCGCTCGCCAGTCATAAGCAGGACGTGGCCAAACCATTTCAAATAACGCTCATAGAGCGGGTGATCCGCCTTGCCAAAGACGCTTTGTGTGGTATCATCGTTGCGCACTGGTGTTGCCACCATATTCGGGCGATCATCTGCAGACAGCTGTTGTCGAAGGCCGAAAGCTTACACATGTCATTCACTCGGATCGGCCACGATTCGCGTCTAAACATCGCGCAAGCACAGGTATTGTAAACCCTGTTTCTTAGCAAAAACGGGATGTCGCGACGATGCCACAAGCGCGTCAAATTGGCAAAGGCCGAGTGAGCTTCAGCCATATGGAGAGACACCACGTCCCCAATAGTTCCGTCGGTAGAGATACTGCTCCCAAGGTAAACAAAACTATCCACCTGCTCAAGCCGAGTGTTTTCGATGGCGAGCTGAGGGAGAGCATTCTGCCAATCCTGTGCCAGCACTTTGCACATTGAGGCCGCAAAGCATTTACCACACTTAGACGCGTCAGTCGCCAGTCGGTCAGGGATCAGTTGCGTACTGTATGGGTCGTCAATGAGCAAAGCGATATCATCAGCGTAATCTAAGTCAGTTACACGATTACCTGGATGGTGCTCAATTTCAGGATTTTGAAAGCCCTCTGAAGCTCCAAACAGGACATCCTTGACCGCGAAGTTGAAAGAAAGGGAGATATAGGGCATCCTGGTCACACACCACTGGTGACAGGGAAGACTGCGGAGAGCTTGCCGTAGGCTCTTACTACCTAAAGTATGGAGTTATAGCACCCGAAGAATAGCGACGTTCTTTAATAGATAGTGGTATAAGGCAGGTCGGTCTATCGAGTCGAATGCAGCCCGAATGTCCGGGAAGACGACGATGGTGGGTCTGCCGTACCGGTGACGATTTTCGAGGAGCTGACGAAGTCTGAATAATTGATCCAAAACCTAGGACGGTACGGAAACCAGCCTGGTCCTCCCGATAGTGCATCTCGCGAGTTGGCGCTACTCTGCACAACATGAGGAATACTAGCAGCTTGGAGGCAATTGATTCCAAGCTGATTTCTTTTATGATCAGCACAGAGTCCGGGAGTCTTTCCTGAAGACTGGGACCATAACTGACTCTCCTAATGAAGAGGAGACTCTTTCTTCTCTCCAGATCTTCAGCAATAGGGATGTTAGCGGAGTGACAATTTCCTTACCACCATATTTGACGGTTCTGAAGGAAGCTGTTCTAAACCAACACCCTTAAAGCACTTCAGATGTCTAATCTCACGGCGAAATTCGGCCTCAGTGGGTGGTTCGAGTGACACGGCCCATGGTGTACTACGGAACGAACTGAGTGCGAAAGTGGATGACGGGAAAGTACCGGACTGATCATGGAAATGCTCAACCTATCTGTCCATGCGCCTCTGCAGTTTGGTGATTTTTGGCCCACTCGCCTTGCAGATAACCTCGCTGACACCATATCTTTTGTGACCAGTGGTCCGAATGAGCTGAAATAACCTAAGGATATTTCCAGAAAGGCGGCGGTTTCAATCTCCAAGGCGCGTTGAGATCACCATGCTTCGCGATCACTGCGTTTGAGTTGACGGCTGATAGTGCGGGGAGGTTCATTCTGATCGGAGTTATTTGGGAGAGTTCGGCGGAGATCCAGCTCTTTGAGGGACGATGGGGGAATCCACAGACTGATTGACCAGAAGATCGCATCGTATTCTGCAAGAAGTTCCAATGCTCTTCAACGCCAGTGGGTTCAGCGCAAGCAAAAGGGTTTGCCAATGACAATTAGTAGTTCAGCTGAGTTGACGGGTCGGCTGCTAGCCTGTTCGTATCAAGCTTACAGTGCTTCTGTTTGGGAGGACCCCCAAAGCGCATGCACATGTTCGCACAAACCAGCGCGTGATCCCAATCAAGATAACTTGACCAAGGTGATCTACAGTCCTGTATGCTATTTCGTCACCTGAACTGATTACGATGTGATCTATTTGAGATCAAGCCAGGTACCAGGACGCCTCATTGCGTTTCTGAACCTGGTGCTTGCGAGAAATAAGCCATTGTCTCCACACAAAGTGGGAAGACTGGTTCTGTTATCGGAGCGATTCTCTCCTGCAGTGCGTGATGGTCATCCAGGTGATATTCACCTGGTGGCAAGCGAACGACACATACGTTGAAGTCCCCGGCGAGGACGACGACGTCCGATTTGGCGGCTTTGCGCAAAAGCTGAAGAAGTTGGCAATAAAAATCATCCTTGATCGATTCACAGCTACAGTCGGTTGGCGCATAGGCGGAGACCACGAACAAGTTGAACCATTCAGCGCGATGCCTGTTAACTACATGAACTTTGAAGCCGAACTGCACATTATCGGCTGTTGACTGCAAACCAGTCCAGCAGTGCAGCCTCGGCTTTGCTGCTTAATGCCACTCCAGTGCCTGCCAAACCAGCTGCAGCTGCTTCTGCGTCATCAGAACGAGGTAGATGGTATGTGGCTCCTTGGTTTGTCGGAGAACTCAACTTGAGCACAGTGCTCGTGTCTCACAACCCAGTTTCGGAAGGGCAGCATATATCTAATTGGAGGGTCAATTTTGAACTACAGCTTGTGTGATTTGATTGCGACGCGCAGTCTCAAAGTGAACCGCGGTTCACATTGAAGTGAACCTTAGTCATTGCGATCACTGGGACCGCAGTGTATTCGGGCGGGCAGCACCCAATTTCCATCGGCAGCATATATCAATGGCGAGCGAGTCCAGAGCGCTTGCTAGACCGGCCTGTTGTCCAGTCTGCGTGAGAGTTCAAACATTGTGGGTTGCCAGTCGAAACGAGAATCGGAGTCAAAGGATAGCCTCAGGCCGCACTTTGTGGATGGCATCGGAACCTGTGTAGGGAGTAAATCAAGGATCTCACGATTAACGGGTAAATAATTGGCGTGTGATGGAGATTGGTGAAAGACGACGGGGAGATGACGGCGAGCGTGCGACGAAGTAGTAGTGCGATCCATGGTTTCTGCACTGGGCACGATACTACCCGGTTGCCCAAACCGAAGTAGAAAGTGGTCTTAGGGGGCTCCACCCCGTGCCTTTAGCCCAATAGCCTACCCGCAAGGCAGCAGGGCGAATTCAGGAAATGGCACTCATTGGGAGTCGGCGACCGATTTCTCGGTTCATACATCTTCCGTTTGCTAAGGCCCCAAACAGCGGCTCAATCCTTCCTATTATTTCAGCACTGTACCAGGGTGAAGCAAGAGGCAGCGACTAATTAGTGGCGAGTCATCCGCCACGTCGCAGTGTTGTTGAACGGACATTTGTTGCTTTTTATAGGGAGAACGCTTGCTAGGCGAAAACCCACCACCTCCTGGAACACTGCCGCCAAACCATTTGCTGGAACGGGGTAAACCCGACTCCCCCCAGCTGATACCACGAGGAGGTTGTTCGGCTAGCCAACCCTTATTATTCATCAGGTCGTGGTAATAACAATGCATCCAACTGAGCCAATAACGAACTATTAACTATTCTGACAGGCAGCATCGGCGGCGCTAGGGTAACAGATTTGAGTCACAGTTTCGCTGTCTCTGTCTGATGAGAGCAAACAAGCCGGAAACTGGTCTTTGGGCACAATGTTTTGCGGACGGAAAACGCTCAACATTTATTTGGTTCTATATACCCTTTTACGTATTTTTGTGAACCCTTTCTATCAATGGATTTGGATACTTAATCTGAGTTTGGTCTGCAGTCTACTTTCATCCGAATCTTCGTACTTCTGGCCATTGGACTCCCCTGCTGAATTTGCTGTATGGCTGTCATTGTTGGCTCAGTAATTTTCATCTGCTTGTCTGCTCCTCAGCAACAGGTAGCTAAATAGGGGCTCGAATCAACAAGGATCCCAACTCGTCAGCAGATATCCTACCACCAAAGTCACTGTTACGTTGATTAAGGACTCATTTTTGGGTTTCGGATTGCACACTGTGTTTTATCCTAAGCTAGCTTTGGACTGTTACTTACTTTGTGGTCGTACTAAAATGCAGATGCTTTCCTACTGTCCGCGACGACAGTTGACCTCGGATCTCCGTGCCTTAGTATTAGAGACGTTTGTCACCGAACCACAATTTATATCTCTGGCCATGTCCACTTGCAGAGATGGACGACGAACGAATCCGCTACTGCGTTTGATGTTGCACCTGCGTGGTACCGTGAAATTCCTCCACCCCTCGCCTCTCTCACCCTCAACCTCCCTAGTACTAGTCTCGTAGCACCTTTCACGTTCACAGTGTGTGTGTGTCCATTCCTCGTGAAATTTTCACCTACTTTGCCATGAAGATATGAAGCAAGTCTTTCACCGCACTCATCTGTCTCTCATCGATAAGGTCATCTGCTATCGGATGCACAGTACATATAGAACTGGCCCGATTGTCTTCGCGATGCGCTGTTTCCACTCCTGTTTATGTTCCCAGCCTCATACAGCTTATTTCCCTTTTTACAACCTTTTTCTCAGAGCTTGGAAAAGGTATCCACGCTTTCTACAAAAGCTCCTCTGCGATCCTTCTGCTTCTTAGATTCAGGCGCGTTTCTGACCACCATCGATGGTAAGTACTCTCTCATTTGATCCCCCCATGATATTGTCGAGGTTTATTTGTCATCACCGAGACACTGTTATTTATCGAACTCAGATGGACAACAATTTGCTGTTGTTTTTTCATTTGGTCGGTAAACAGTGAAGTTACTATGAAACCTCACTTCTTTGGCGGGCTGAATGTTTATTTGAGTTCCAGTTGAATAGCTAGACTCTACTTTTCCTCGAGAAGATTCGTTGCACATATTCTACTGGGACACATCAGCCAACGAAACATCCATTGGATCTCGCTGAATTCGGACCCATAATCTGCTTAAGCCACTGAACCATGTGTAGCACAAAAATCTCCCTACTGCTCTGTAAGATTCCACTAGTATTCACAGTGTTTATTGGCTGCTGTTTCCCACTTGTCCCCTTGAAGATTCTCTTTAGCGTAAGCCTGCTATTGTGTTGTCCATATCTTATCACAGCACTCTATGGCACTTGTTGAATTGCATGCCGCTATTTAGGTCGGTAGACAGTTCTTCTAGGAGCACGTCAACAGCGATGTTTCTGTGGTCCATACCCAAAGCCTCTAGTTGGTTCGCGCTGTCGTAGCTTCGTTGGCGAATCACTGATGTATCTTCTACTCTGATTGACTCCCCACGCTTTTCGGACTTTTCTCGTTGATCCATTTTACGGATGACTGTTTTTGGAGCGCACCTGTCAGTTGGAGTTACGAGGAGCCTTCCCCTTACTTTCTGTGCAAATCCCGCTTGTGCACTCTTTTCATGGCGTTACGCTCAAAGTAACTCTCCCTCCTCAATTTCACCTACGCACTTCGCAATCAATATCTGGTTCACAAACGGCTGCTGTTGATATACTACTGTAGCACATCGTCTGTTACATAATGAACCGCGATCAAATCGTTTTGCTTCATGTAGTGTAGCGCGACTTACTTTCAGTATGCCTGCTTGCTCTCTTGCCATTGTTCCCATCATTAAACAGGCTGCGACTCTAAGAATGTTTCAGATTTTGGAAACTTGGCGCTTTGTTTACACATGAAACTTTAAGCATGACAACAAGGTTTACATCTTATGAAAAAATAACTGAAACCTTGATATCGTCGGCAGCTTTGCACAGCATAGCAAAACTGTTCGTTGTTAAACCTCACTGTCTCCTACTTCGTCCTTACCATGGTTTCTCTTACCTACCCGGCATCCGAATGTATCTCCCTTTTGAAACAAGCAATTCCCCTTATAACTCCAAACAAGCAGGTCAGAAGATGCATTTTATGGGATTACATCATTTCGTGCACTCGTATCAATCAGGAACAGATAGCATTGAGAAACCATACCAGCGTTACAAGTGATCGTACATAGTCGAGCGCTTGCGTTACCCCAGGGTAGGCTTAGAGCCACAGTCAGCTGTTTTTGTATGCATAGCAGTGGGTGTTCACGATCGATAACGATGGCTTCCAGCGGCCTAAATCGCGTGCGATTAATTTCGTATATGCGAAATGGCTATGCGATATCACTGGCTACCTCTTCTGGTTTCCTTGTTCGGTATCTTCCCTTGTTTCTACAGTCTTTGCTCACATTTCTGCACTTTTTGTGGCTTCATGTTCTCCAATTCTTCTTTGTTTGACCGCCACTGCGCGTGTATACCACCACTTGTTCCCTACCGTATCACGGTCATTTTGGTCGGACGGTGAAAAACTGTCAAAATTAGAGGACGCCATTGACATAACTCTCTTCGGGTGTGATTGGGCCGCTATACAAGCGAGGGCGAGGAGTACCAGTGTCTTAACACGTCTGAAGACATGACCCACAACCGAAATCATTGGAAGTACTGTGTACCGAAGTGTGTTGGCTCACATGTTTAGTAGCTCAAACATGGATAATGACAAAAGATCGGCGTGTGAAAAACAAACAACAGATGTTTCGTTCTCATTTTGTCAAATTGTACTTTCCTCTCATTCTGACGATTTTTTCGATTCCTCCACACCCACTTCCTGGACTGTTGGTTAGATATAAATTAACTATAAATATATGACTTTAAGTTTGGCATATAGTTGCTTAATTTGCCAATTCGTCCAATCTGCTTTATCTCCATTATGTGCGTTCTTTCAGAGGCTTGCTATATGGGATCTTTCCAAGCTCACTGTCTTTGTGTTTTAGCTCACCCCTTTTGCTTCAGCCCACGTATTCAAACGGTGACTTAAACAACCCTCTCCTCCTATACAATGCTTATCCACTTAATTGTTGTTTGACGACGAGCTTGCTTTACGCAGTCGTGATAGCCTTAGTTCATTCAATTCCCCAATCACCGGTTATACCCTTATCATTTCAGTGACGGGCTTGGGCATGCTTGTCAACTAGATGACATTGGGAATCCGAAACCAAGTTCCAAGTGCCAATTATCTTCACTGAGACTTATTGAGTCATTGCGTTTACCCGGTTCTGTCCATTTTGTTCCCTTTTCGCATCTAGTCCGGTTGGTTGCGCCCGGTTAGGTGGCAGCAGATCACACGGTCATCTGTTTCCACGATCTAGCGACCAAGTCCCATCCTAAATCTTCGTTTCCGTCCATTTTTATCCGACAGCATTACACATACCGTGGGATTAATTTTAATATACGATAGTAAACCAACAAAAAAGTTGGCAGTACTCAGGCATATCCCACTGATGCTGTGCTCTCACGCGGCTACCCACGGTCACGGGTGGGCTGGGTATACCGCTAGGTCAGTAATAAATCAGAATACCATTGGCTCGGGTCGACCGTTTATGTTTCGATTTGTTCTTCGAGCTGGCCAATTTGCTGCGGACTTTTCATCACCATTCGAGGTGAATTCGTCAGTGATTTAGTACATGGACTGCAATCTCACTGAATGGCCTTTAATCTACAAACAAGTGACGTTTGAACTTCGGTTCATGCTCCGTGACCGTCGCTCATTTGTTGTTCGATTGCCGCCTCTTTCAGTTTTAGGTCCTTATTCATGGTCTAGTTATTTCTTTCGAATTTGTTGGTATAGTGGATCTACGTAAATGCACCGGTTTATTAAATTATCCGTAGAGAGCCAAGCTTCGAGAAATTCTCCTCTTCCATTTTTGTCTCTGCGATCCAACCTCCGTTTTCTCAGCCAGAGTAGTGTCCGTCCTCATCAACGTGCGCTGAGACCGGTATAATAATTTCTGCAGGCTCATTTGTGCAGGTGATTTCCTCCCTGTTTGGACCACATAGTGTTTCTCACAATTTTGACACCGTATCCTGTAAACGACGTTCCGACGTTCGTGTGCTCTGGTTTTCTCTTTCGTTCTAGGCAAGATTCCATTCAGATTGGCGGTTAGTATTGGAATTACTATCGGCTGGTGCGGCTTGAGGAGTTGGGCTGTCATGTTTGACACGTTCTTGATATGTGGCAAAGCGATCCGTGTCATTGTTATCGTTCAAATGTGGTATTTTCACTTGCAGTTTATGCGTCCTCGGATGCAACTTCGTGGGTATTCGTTGCGCATGAAGAATGTAAACAGGTGGTTTTCTTTTCGTTTGGCTTCCGCAGTATTGCAGTGTTTCTCTATCCGTATGAAGCCTTTTTGTACCATTTTGGATGATTACAGTTGAAACTTGGGATTTGGTCAGTGTGCATGTCTTTGCTGTATACTGATGTTTCTAGTTTTCCATCCACTGTCCAGGCAACCAACACGTCCAAAAAAGGTGTTTGGTTTCCCATTTCTGATCCCATGATGAAACGAATGCCATCCATCGCATTGTGCTGTCTGCGACTGGCTCTGTTTGACTATCACAGGCATGTCGTCAACATACGGACGCACAATTTTGGGCACTTGTTTGGAATCAGGTTTTACCACAATTTTTACATGACAATCCTCGCAATGCGTCCAGCTATAGCGGATCCCATGGGGGCTACATCACTTGCTAGTCGATCGAAGGCCATTCAGTGAGATTGCTTTCTATGAAGTAAGTCACTGACGAAGTCACGTCGACTGGTGATGAAACTGCAACACAATTGCCCAGGTCGGGGAATAAATCGAAACATGAATACAGCGAAGTCGCCTGCACGAACGATATGCTCCGACCAGCGGCCGACATTGTAGTCTTGCGACTTGGTATTGGCAGTTAGCGTTGCTTTTTGTATATGTTTTCAATTACTCAGTAATCCGTAGCTCTGCATGCACAGTTAGGATTCACCGCATTTCTTTCGTTTCAAAATCGTTCATCTCATTGTCTAAGGTCGCAGTTAAGTTGTTTAAGCTACTCGTGTTTTGGGACGAATTAAATGTGATTGCAACGAACGATGCGCTGCGGATTGCCCCACCGATACACACTTCAGTAGGAAATGTAAAGTGTTGAGGATGTGCCCTTTCCACATACTCCCTATCATATGTGTGCCCTGTCATAAGAACTGGAATTTTTGCTAATTCCACTAATGGTTAAACGATACTGGCAACGCTTAACCCGTGCAATTATCCACTAGTTGGTTGGATGCACCCACGAACGCCACGGATTTTTGGATAACCGTTTTACATTCCACTTTTGTTTCGGGATTCCTGTGTTATACGTTATTTTTCTTTCTGAATTGTGCGCCAGTATTTTTACTTTGGTGTATTTTTCAATCTGTACCAATTTGGTTGATATTCTCTGGCTACTTTCGCTATGTAGAATATCCCGTGAAAATTGCCGACGCAACAAGGACGCATGTACGCTACGACATATTAGCTCGACTAGGTGAGACAGCCAACTGGACCTTTCTGGCAGTCGAGGCACCAGATAGTGCATAGGAACATTTCGTCAGCCAGTTTAACTCTGGTTGCCGAAGTGTTAGCGTCTATGACCCTCCGCCCAAGAAACGTGGTCTCATTTCTACGAAGCAGGATAGTTTAAGTAAGGTAAGACGGGGAATTCTTCCTCTTGAAACTGCAAACAGACCCCCCCAAGGACACCAAAGGATGCGGCAAATCCTCTGCGCCTACAATATGCTGCAAGCTTTCAGTGCGATCCTGGGCACCTTACTCTATGACAGTGGTTGTTTAACCCCCAATACTCACTCACATCTCCTTCACGGCAAAAGCTATACTACGAATGCTGTTGAGTATGCGCAAGAACAGCTCTCCTGGAGTTGATAATATACACACGAAATCCCTATCGGTACTAGGAGAGAGTTTAGCTGAGCCTTTGTCTCGATTCTTCCAACACTGTTGTGACGAGATGTACGTTTCCGACATGTGAAAACACGGGATGATTACTCCTACGCACAAGGGAGGTACTCGTTTCAATCCAGCCAACTGCCGTCCCATAATCTTACTACCGGTTCTTCCAAAGCTGTTAATTCTAATGTGCTAACGGCCTACATGGAAGAATTTAACTACCTCGCACCGGAACAGCATGGCTTCCGACGACATCGATCGCGCGCTACAAATCTACTGCTAGCACCATACAGCTGGACTGAAGCAGTAGACTCTGGCACAAGAGTTGATGTAGTCTTTCTCGACCTCCCGAAGGTGTTCGATCGGTTAGACCATAATATTCTGCTCTTCAAACTCCAGACCTTTGTTATTGGTCATCCTCTCCTAGGAACTTTCTTCTTCACTGACGCCTGGAAGTAGGTGTACGTGGATCACTGTCAGATCCCATCCGAGTTGAATGCGGAGTACCACAGAGTTGGGTACTTGGACCGCAATTATTTTTGACGTGTATTAATAATATCACACGCCTCATAAGCTCCAACTGCCTGTTTTATGACGATGACATCAAGGTGTGGAGAGCGATAAATACGCCATACGATATCATAGTGCTTCAAGCTGATCTGGATAGGGTGTACTATTGATCAATCCAGAATCTACTTCGATTCAATGTGGACAGATGTAGCGTACTGCATTTACGGCACAAGTTGGTGTACTCCTGCAAACTCGGCAATCAGAAGGTTTAAACTGAAACGGCATCAAGTAGGGACATCCTACACGTGGGCCTCCTGAAGCATGCGTTCGGATGGTTCGACCTTTCGATTTTTCCACAACTTCTCGGCTCATACATACGGCTATATGTGGAATACGCGGTACAGGTCTGGTGGCTATGGCTGAGGAGAGGTCTCACCGTCTTGGAGATATCCCAACGCCGGGCAATCAAAAATGTCAAGGATCTGTATAATTTGCCCTATGTACGAAGGGTTCAAGTGCTCGAGATCTTCAGCGGGCAGTATCGGCTTGTGCGCGGGGACCTCATTTTGACTTACCAGATTTTGAGAGATCCCGATGTCACATGCCCCTACTTGCTAGAGCTCAGCCACAACAGCAATTTGAGAGACCACGATCTCAAGCTGACAGAGCAACACGGTCGTTTGGAATGCCGTCGGAATTTCTTTTCCCTACACGTTTGCTTAACGTGGAATGCCCTTTCGGAATCTGTCATCTGGGCTCCCACGCTGGCGCAATTCAAAGCCCGAGTTACTCGTGCCCTTGTTTCGCTGCACCATCTTACATGACTCATTTATTACCCGTGAATAAACACAAGTGCCTGTAAGAGATTTCACTGGCGGTGGAATCCCGGATTTCGTTCCACGTATTTCACCTCTTGTGTGTGTACACCTGGAGAAGATACAATTGTTACCAACCTCATCCCATTTGACGCCATTCTTTATGGATTTACTTTGCGTTTACTGCTTACCTCAGTGAATTCACCGGTGTAAATCCGGTTTTGTTAACAATATTTTTTATATTTTGCAGTTTCACCATAACCATCCTACGGGACCAGTTAAGCATTGACGTTTTTACCCTTATAAAACCATTGTTCCATCAACAAGCTTCGGTCGCATTCCGTATGCTTCATTGATCGTTTGACTGGGAATTATACGAAGGACCAGAGCGCATAACACGACTACCACTCGCCTCATATCGGTGGAGCGACAGCGCGAGATTTTTCACACTACCGTATCATGCAAACTACCATACCATTGTTACTTCTTGGATTCATGTGACTTTAAACGCTATGTTATTTTTGTGTCTTGGTTCATCTCGGCGCTTTTCATTTCATTCTTTCCAGTGATGGATGAACCTGTTTTTCAGACACATGTTACACCATCTGTGTGTTCCTGTTCTCCTACCGATGACCGCGTAGTCCCCACTGTGTTCCCACTCACTCTGTTATCACCTGGCGGCTGTCTGGTCCGGGTTTCACTAAACACTCACTTCATGTTTGTCTGGATTGAGAGGGGGAAAAGCTTCGGTACGACTCTCACCCATCACGTTAGGCTCACATGTATCGGCACGTCCATTTGCCATCAGGTGTTGAGAGGTTGCAATGAAATTTGGTGCCGCTCATGATTGATCATTGCATACTGTTTTTTTCCAAAAGCGGTGATGAAGTCAATCTTCCTGGCTGTTACCTCACCTCACCCCGACCGTTTTGTCTTCATTCCTACTGTCGAATATTTCCTATTTATGTTGTATTTGTAGCCTCGGGCTCAGTATTCGTGTTTGATCTCCGGAACCGCAGACCACGCGTTGTTCACCAGTGGATCGATCAAGCATGCACTGCGGGGACGGCAATTGCTAGTTCCTCTGATGGCCGGTGGATCGCTTGTGGGTGCGTGAGTTGTTCTTCTACCTTTCGTGGGCGTCTCGTTGGCAATTGCGATTTATTTTTCTGTGGTGCTTTACCAGAGTACACAGGCACACTTATGCGAAAAAGCCTTTTTCTTCTAATTACATTTTGCGTCAACTGTTCCCTAGACTTCACATTGTCTTAAGCATTTGTGTCCAGCATTTTTATCCAACAGTCCTTACTTAAACGGGCCTTCTTAGTTTTAAGTGTAGAACACCAGTTGCGGAGACTACAAATTTAGCTCCATTTCTTTCCAAATGGGTAACTTACTTTTTTTTACTTACTTTACTGCGATTAGCTCCTGTGACAGGATGAGCCGGCTTCATAAATCTCGCGAATTGCACTTGCCCAAGCGCGGTGGTCGGGGGCAAGCTGCACGCAGATACTGATCGAATGATTCCTCCAGGGACGGACACCATGCACAACATGGAGTCCCAGAAGATTGACATCCGTTTTCACTACAGTGAGCCGCGTTTTCGATTGTCCATCACGGCGACGACACCAACCCTGGCAAGGCGAGGGTGAAACCACGGTCCTATTGAAGTCAGTGTCTGGTCTGCGGAGGACGTGTCCGAACCACTGAAGTCTGCGGCGTTAGATGAGCTTTGTGGGCTACGGAAAACCGTAACAGCGCTTACGGATTTCGTCATTGGTAATACGCTCATGCCACTGTGTTTTCAAGATAAACCTTAGACACCAATGGTCGAAAACTTCCAGCTTCCGGGTGTCTTCAAATCGCAGCGGTCATGTTTTTCAACCATAGAGTCAAATGGCACTAATGGTTGCTGAGAATTTTCGGATCTTCGTTCTCAGACTAATTTCCCTCCTTCGCCACACTGTGTTTCTCAGTCGTAAGTAGGCTATTCTAGCGCTGTCAATACGATTCCGGATTTCGGATGTAGTCTGACCATTGCTGAGTATAGTGTATCTAAGATACTTGAACTCAGGAACAGATTCGATGAGTTGTCTATATAAGGAGAGCGACGGGACGGACTGGGTGGCTGAGGATAAGAATTATTTTGTTTTGCTGTTGTCAATTTCGAAGCCAATCATAGAGGCTGATTGGTCGACCCGATTCATCAGTGACTGTAGTGATATGGCATCTTCCGCAAGGATAGCGGTATCGTCAGCAAATTCTAGGTCTGTCAGCCAGAAGTCAGAGCTAACTTGAACACCGCGATAGTCCTCAAGGGCATGATGCATAGCCCAGTTGACTGGAAGTTGAACAGCATTGGAGAAAGTGGGCAACTCTGCCGGACTCCAGTATTAATGTCGAATTCTCCTGTTTCTTCTCCATAGACCCGAATCCGGCCCTTCGTGCAACGGTAGTATGATCTCATCAAGTTAACGAGTTTAACCGGCACGCCATTGGCAAGTAGGATTCTGCAGTGCTTCGCGGTCAAGTGCGTCCAAGGCAGCTCAAAAATCAACGAAGCACACAAACGTGGGCTGCTGGAACTGGTAGCGGTGTTCGATTACTCGACGTAGAGTGAAGATTTGGTCAGTGCAGCCTCTGCCTGGACGAAAGCCACCTTGGTTATGGTGAGTTTGCAGATTCTTCTCATTAACAAAGCGGGAAAGCAAGATTGGTGCGAAGGTTTTGACAGCCACATCGATTAGGCTAATCTCGCGATAATTACTGCACACAGTTCGGTCACCTTTCTTGGGAAATGGCAGTAGTACTGAGGTACTCCACGAGGAAGGACAGATTTCGGTCTCCCATATCGAGCAGAAGGCCTCGTGCAAATGGTCAAGGAGTGCTGGTAGACAAGATTTGTAGATTTCCGCTGGTATCTCGTCCACTTCAGGTGACGAACGATATCTGCAATTTCTGTGGGAGATGGCGGTGAGCAATCCGCGTCAAATCCCGACTGAGTTACTGCTGAAATGGGTGCAGTGGTATGTAGTGGGCGATGTAAGAGGTTTCTAAAATACTCAACTCATTTGGAAAGTTTTCCTTCCGTATCAGGGATGATTTGGCCTTCCGGATTGCGCAATATCGGCTGTGGTGAATGGCGCTTGCCGGAAGCTAAACGGACGAGACGAAAGAGATGACCCAAATTGCCAGAATTAGTTGCAGCTTCCATGTTGCCTGCAATATCAGACCGGTAGCGGTTGCGATCATTCCGTGCTGAGTGGGTTTCCTCACGTCTCTAGCGATGGTAGTCTGATGAATTCGTGAGACGTGTTTCTCTCGCTTTAGCGGACAAGCGGATGGTATCTTCAGTGATCCAGTCCACAGGCTTAGAGGTAGAGCCCAGGGTAGATAAGGCGGCGCGTTGAACTGACGATTTTAGGCTAGACCAACGAGCGCCTACAGATTCATCATCTGCAATTATGAGTCGTGGTGCACTGGCAGAAATTTCTACTTATATTGCTGCCTCAAGTGATCGGCAGCAGTCAGTATTTTCCAGTGGAGCAGTGTTGATACGCTTTAGTGAAAAGGTCTTTCGGCGCGTTGTCAAGCGGAGTTTGAATTTGGCGCGCAGGAGTACGTGGTCCGAACCACATTTATTGCATGTTTCAGCCACCCCTGTACGCTCCACAGTCATCGGTGGAGGACATCCACCTGGGTCGGATTAAGATGTAATTTATCTGACTTGTGTTCGACAATCTTTGGAGTATCACATCAGAAAATGCTTCCTGGGATGCTGGAAACGAGTATTAGTTACGCACAACCGGTTAAGGTCAGCGAAGCTGAGCGAGCGGTCCCCATTATCACAGCGCTCTCCAAAAGCGTATCTCCCGAATATGTGACGGGTTTGATCGTTTCTAGGACCGGGTCGTGCATTCCAGTCCACATCAATAACGAGGATGTCGCGTTTTGGAACATAGTTCACCATTGTCTGTAGAGCATCGTAAAATTCGTCTTTGTCAATTTCCGCTGAGGGTAGGGTTGGTGCGTAGACGGAGATTACGGTCAGCTTCATCGGGTGATCTTTGAAGCGTGCAACTGCTATTCTAGCTGATACTGGCTTCCATGAAAGTAGCGCGTAGTGTGCCTGGCAACTGGAAGTCATGGCGACCCCTTGATTGCCAGAATTGTCTTCCGGCCCACTGTGGTGAAGCCAATGTGAGGTGTCCACACCAGGGACTTTAATTTGTAGAGAGCCATAGCCCGGTATTCGAGATTTTGATATACATGTTATGTCGATCTGATGGTCATGTGGTGTCATCATCATCATCATCACCACCGTCAACAGCAGTACATCAGCCATTTGAACTGATGCCTCACTGCCCTACAACCATGAGGACTTATGAAATAAAGAAATAGAGGAGGGCGAGAAGGGGGACTTACCTGAAAACCTTAACGCCCTAAGCAAACATTCAGGGTCAAGGCGCCTACACCTTGTGTAGACAACATACTGTCATCGACTATTGTCGATCTTTTTACAACCTTTTTCTAACCTCTGTTGCTTTAAACTTACTTCTAAGGTCCCGTGATTCTGCCCCGGTACGCTTGAGATCTTCCGCATTCTTGGCACTACAGTGCGTTTTCGTCTACTACCACCCGAAACTGCTTCTCTGGCTATGCTGCTCAATTTCCTTGGTTGCGATTAACGTTGTTTATTTATGACCGACAGGACAGCGGACAATATTTGTGTGCGCGCATCGAATGCCCCTGGTGTTGACATATACATCGTTCCACCCCTAACTCAGTCAGCCAGGGAACTCAGTCGATCTTTCTCATTGGATTTTTCTAAGCTTGCACACTATATCAGATCCGTCAATTGCGTAGTTGGCAAACACGATATGACTTATCCACATAACTGTCCATATTTTCCTTGTTCTCTCTTGAGCTACCATGAAGGTGCTTTCGAGTTGGATGCCTTTTCTTTCCGTCTCTGAGAGAATGGCCTTTAAGAATAGCAGCTACCAACCTCTTACTGCTCTGTTGCGCCATTGGAAGACTCGCTGACTCTCTTTGGATCCCTCCAGTTTAAGACCATAACTCGTTCACTTAAACGAAACTTCGAGCATATGCTTAGGAGGGATTTCACGCATGGGATTTAAACGCGACAGATTTAGTTCCCTTCGCACGTTTTAGCTCGCATGTTTCAACTTTTTCTTCTTCTCACTCCCATATTGTCCTCCAACTCATCTTTATCGTCCGATGAGCTTTCTTTTCGCTCACTTGTATCTTCGAACAGAATACGTACACCTGGGCTATTTTTGCTGTTCGCTATTCACTTCTTTCTCTGTGCATAAAGGGTCAATTGCGGATCACTCGAGTTCACGTTTAAGTGAATGTCTAATCTGTTCCTCTTCTGGCATGTTTTGACAGCTTCTGGCGCCTCTTTCGCTTCAGATCACACCCGGGGTACGTGTATTTTAGATTTAGTTGTCATTCTTTGACAAGTTGGCGCCCATTGACACCTTGATGCACTTCGCCAATTGGGGGGAGGGGAATACACTTCGTTTATGGAAGGTTTCCGCTGTTCCTCCGTCCCAACACTGCACCCCATGACCGCTTTTCACCCAGTCCATACACGCGGCAGTTACTCCAACATCCAATATTATATTCCCAAGCGTTGTTCGTAAGCCTTAATGGGCAAGCGGCATGCCGCGAACCATTGCGTCACGAGTTCCGCTCCCCGCTGCGGCTGTCTCTGCCCACTGAGTCTAAATGAGGACAAAACCATCGGTTAGGAAGTGCAGTCATGGGAACCGGCCACATGGGAAGCCTCCCACTTCGGTTACGATCCTGGTGATCGGAGTGACCGAGGTCTACTTCATAGTAAACCAATATCCCATCGGAGACTGCGTTCCGCGCAGTCTGAACACACGGCGGATACTTCAAAACCCAGCGCTGAATAGTTCGTTTGAGTTTACTGATTGCTTCCTTCAACTCCCCACTCTAGGGTCGTGTAAGAGGGTCATGCACCATGAATCTTATTGCACTCTGTTTTGTGGATGATATTGCCGTGGTTTTTCCTTCCGTTAGCCATACCAGTTCTTGTCGTCGCATTCCTATTTCATCTGTTTTGAATTACATTTTGTTCGCTTTGTGTTAAATGCGACCTTTTTACTGACCCCCAAATTCAGCACGACAGGCGGAGAGTTTCAGTGCGATTGCCCGCTAAAAATTTTTTAGCTCAGCCTCTTTCGTTCGATATAACGCGCACATAATTGCCTTAAACGTATCTGGGATTATAATATTTAAGGCCTGCAGCATGACGACTCGTTGGCGGTGAGGGCCCACGGATGATGGAAGGCCAATTCAAGTTAGTATGTGCTTCTGCGGCAGTGGTTATCATTTTTAACTCATGGCTCAAGCCAATCTTTTCTCCAGCTCCTCCACGTGCACATGCTTCGCAGCACCTCTCTCCTGCTCGCGGCTCAATACTTAGCTCGCCCTAGGTTATCTTTTAATTCTCACATCTACCTGGTCGAACGACAGTAATTACGTCCAACTGTGGCCTGTTTCATGCCTTCCATCCCGGAAGGCGACATGCCCCACCCTGGACACACGCTTCACATCACTTTCGTCCGCTTTCTTCGCAAGAACGCAACTTGGATGCTCTGGGATTCCAATCATCAGAGTTAGCAGGTTACTACATCTACCGGAAGTCATTAATTGACTTCAACACGAGTTAGACGAGGCGCTAGACCATGTGGTCGAAATTTTATCCGCTTACATTGGTATGCTCCTTGAGATGCACCCACCAGAATGCGTGCAACTTGGTGGACGATTAGAAAGTTTTGGTGTTACCCAACATTACACCCCAAGACCGGTTTCATTCTCCTTTGGACTCTTTAGGAACTGGGAGTGAACTCGTGAATGTAGTAATGGGCGACTGACGCTCTGATCACTGGTCCACTGAGATCCATGAGCAACGCTCGACACATGAGTTAGAAGTTTACTGTTGGTTTTTAGAGTAACCTTCGCGTGTTTGGATTGTGACAGGCATGCTCAACTGAAGTAGTTGCTACTCTGTTCTCCGTATGACAAACCTGTACAATTTGTTCTCATGGCCTCTAAATCCGCTTCTGGATGCTCTCACAAATTCGTTAGGCTGTGAAAGATCTGGTTCGAATTCTTGGTTCAGGTTTTCCTTTTACGGCCGACGGCTAGCGTAACAGACGCACACATCAACTAACGGATCTGTTCAACTGCTTTGCGGTTCACTTAAACTTTGCCAATTATGCAGCAGCCCTTTTCACTTTCACATAGAATAGTTGCATTGGTGCTTAAATCCCTTTGTCTTTATCCAATGAAAACTCTTCGCTCTTGTGATCCACCTACGTACGTACTTCCAACCGACCGTTTGGTGAAGTTTCCTTCTCAGATTTAGTGTGTGGGAGATGAGTGTCTGGTATTAATGACAGAGGTTAATCTGCATCGAAGTAGCTGCGAGGATTAGAATAGAAGAGCCCGGCGATAAAGATCCACACTGATACACATTCCGGACATGGATGGTTGGTTGAAGCACATGCGGTTCACTATGTTCTACCACTTAACTAACGTTTACTGCTGTGATCACTGTTGTGATCGCACAGCTAACCAACTGACACCACTCGATTGCCACATCATCTAATGTTCGACATCCTGGGAAAGGCGACCACGTTGTTCCTGTTTTGCGCTTTGCTTTTCTCATGCTCTCGCTTATGACGAACGCATCGTGGGGCCGCACAACTCTGAATTCTTCCATCTGATGAATGTGCCGATTCTTCCCCCCCCCCCCTCTGCACTCCAATCTCTAGGTCCGATTGTGGTTACACTAATGTGTATCAGTGTTCCAAAACCATGCAGTCCTGCACTCCGGAACCCGATAAATCTATCGCAAACCTACAGACTGCTGTGGACACCATTGCATTTCATCCGGCGTCAGAAATGCTATGCTTGAGTTCATCTCAACGGTCCGCCTCTATACGATTGGTATGTTGATTTGCTCGTTTGATTTTCCCCACACCTACTTGTGAAATCAACCCATTGCTCGTAACGCTTTATGTTTGAAATTAAGAAGTGATGTGATGCTTTTTTCAAACTGCACCTATCGTTCTCGCCTTTTTATGTCGAATAATTCCACTTTGGAAACTGTCACCGACGCTCGAGAGTGTGGGCTTTACCTTTGCATCCAATAACTTGCATTCTGTTCAGAAGACTAATTACTTCGTTTCTATCTCGCAGTGATTACTTATCGTAATTTGTACTGCGTGAAAATAGCGACCTAATCGAATTGGCTTTGTATTCCGTTGTTCCGAATAGCTCGAGTTTTATCCCATCAGCTTCTGCTCATGTCTTACTTGGAATAGAAAATTCACACCCAAATTTTATTGCCACCAACTATGTTCACTAATTTGGTTTCTGTGCGCGCGACTCTCATACTCAACTAGTGCACGTGTATGGCATTGAATGATGTTGCGTCGGTTATCGGTCAACCGGTTTACAAGCCCAGTTAATTCCACGGAGCCCAGTTGTAGTGTATATTTGTTACATATAAGCGATATCGAACACTTAGCTCCCTACTACTGTAGTCGTTTAGCCTTTTCTGAGCGGCTCTACTGTGCTGGAAGCTCCTGTCAATGCAAATGTTTGCCTGCGGAACTATCACGTATGCTTCCGATCGCCAAGCTAAGGAACCTATCCCGCCTTTGCCGCGAACTGTTATTCTCTCGGAGGCTGTATGAATCCGTTGAAAATCCGAACCCACACACGCATGTGAACTCGCATTGATAGTTCACCTGCCATATTGATCCTTCGTCTTTTTGACTATGGAGTACTTGTCAATAGCCAACTATCTTCACATCCCACTCCATCGTGCCTTGCTGCTGTTAGCACTTGCTTTAGCGTCATCTCCCGTTATTCTAACCATTGACTAATCGTGCCCACACGCTTTTTTTATCAGTACTCGTCGCTCTCCTTCCACTCACTTGGTTAGCCAATGCTAGCTGCCGTCCAAATTCATTTGCCCTACCAAACTCTTGCTGACATGAATGAGTGCTGTCGTGTGCCTTTACCTAACTGTTTCCATCATTCAGCATTCGGTTTTTACTGTTGTATAACCTTGCTGCATGTCTCTCTCCCATTATCTGCAGTATCACTTACACGGCCGTCACGTGTTTGATAATTTTCCTGTCCGAACCGGCCAACTGTCCTCACCGACCTCAGTGGCTTTCAGTCCCAATGGCGGATACCTTTGTGTGGGTCAAAGCAACGGAAGGGCCGCATTGTATCATATTTTACATTACATGAACTATTGAAATCAGAAAATTACTTGATTCATGCTTTTTCTTGCTTTACCTCCCCGTTCAATTCGCGCCTCACTATGCTACCAAGGTGTCGGGACGAATTGGCATCTGGTACGGAATGAGGGGTGCTGTTGCGACCTCCTGATCACTCGGTACATATCTAACGTGACTACTTAATTCACTTCGATCCCTTTCTTGTTGGGCATACAATACTAGTGGGGTTGTTTATGTCTACCGACTTTACCCAAGTTACGTTTATCTATCTACGGCCTAAGTTTTTTACGGCAAACGATTCAGTCGTGTCTTCTTCTCTGGAGTTTGGGGTGTCCACCAAAGGGATATATACAGTTGCAGGGACCACGTAACTAAATTTGTTGAACCACTTACCTGGCACTTAGCTCATTACCTTCCGATGGTTTCCGCTCTTCGACATGAGTGTATCATACCCCATTGATCGCATGTGGCCTCAATGCTCACAGCTAGCAACCAATCACACGTATTTTTGTGTTCATCTGGCACATGCGTGTTCAGCAATTGCAGCTGTTGTGCCAGATCTTACAATTGTTATGCGTTTAGGCAGAAGCATCAAACTAACTCAATCTTCAACACTGGAACGGTTCGCTTCTCGAAGCCGAGCATGCCGCGTGCTATGCATAACCGTTTCTATCCGATTATTACGAACAAGGTAGCGTTTTACGAATCTGGCGCGCGAACATTTAAATGAAAATATCCAGTGAAAATAAACTAGCTTCCTTTGTATAAGAGCATAATGCCCTTTTATTTTGCTATACACTTGTGTGTTAGTGGATGGACTTGTTTCCCGTGATATAGTTGTTTATGTGAATAACTGAGACAATGCAAGTCGGTTAATGGTAGAACTATATGGTAAGATGATAAGACTGCCGTTTCTGACAAGTGAAGGAGTGCCAACATCGAAGATTTGTTCGTAAGGCCGCACATAAAATAACACGCATATATGCCGCTTTCGGGTAGTCAACTTTTGCGAATAACAGAACCCTAGAAACATCAATTAAAACAAATACCTAGGGACTTCGGTGATTAGAGGGGAACTTGGAGCAATAAATTACCGATTACATCTTGGAGACAGATTAATAAATAACATTTGGCCATTCGCCTTTCATTTGATATCTTCGTGGATCTCTACACGCATACAATGGGTTACACCTCACTTTGTCCATTGCATCACTGTTCGAGTGTGAGCTCCACTCATCTTTTCTGCTTTACACATCGTTATTTCGGCAGATTAAGAGCGATTTTTGAGCTGAGTCCCCTCGTCCTTTTCTGTTTTACTCTCGTTTTTTTGCGTCCCAATTACCTTTTCTAGCGTAACGGGACAATTTTCAGTTTGATGTTTTAGTGACAATCTCATGCTAATATTCCTAATTTCACCTTCGCAACTCCGGTGGAATTATCTCTTTTAAGACGGATCAACAATTCTTCAAATTGCTCGATCCTCTATGCAATGTCCATACTGCCACTTACACGCTGTTTGCACATGGAATGACCACTCGCATTCACTGCACTGTGTGCAAGTGACTCAGGTATCTGCTCTGCAGTTTACAGATCGCAATTTTGCGGTCGACCTTGCAGAATTCATAACCGGTCCATATGGTTTCAATTGTAGTCACGAAAAGATTATCATTGGGGAATTTCTTTCGACTGGCGTATCAAATGAATTGTGTTGATCCTCATTACTTTACTAGTTTTACGATACCGTTCAGACTACGCTTTATCGACTCACTTATTCGCTAAACCGACTTGTCGGTTAGCTGGCGCAGACACATCTGCACCTCTTCATAGGTGCTTAAACTTTGCTTCTCCATCTCACTTTACAGCTCAATTGTTTACCCATGAGGCTATGCGGGCTAGACACACAGTGACCCCGTCCAATGCATTTTGCACCATCTAGCTTGTTGCACGCAACGCCCCTTTGCTTCGCCCGTGCAACAGTTTATAAAATAAACATATATCCATCAAAACCACAGAACCTACGTACGTAATCTGTACAAATGTCATAACTACGGGAACACACCGAAAATAAAATGTTTTTTTTTTGCTTTTCACACACTACCTTGTCTATTTTATCATTTTAATGATTTTGATGTTGGGAAATATAAGTGTAGATTCACTCAGATTTTCCAATGGTCCTGCTTTCGCGCCATCTCAGGTGTTTCGAGCCAGCGGTTTTCTCCCTCTTCAATCTCTAGCCGGGTAAACGCAGGGGACCGACGATGGCTAAACTGGAAGTTAAGACTTTGCTGTCTTGTCGTCATGTGTTAGGTTGACAACTGCGGTCTTATGCGAACAAATAAGCCACGACGTGCTGATCGCTTGGACGTCATGCGTTGGACGTGAGGCAGCCATCTCAGTTGGTGCATCGACGCGCGGACCCATTATTACCTAAGACGCGACATCTGACCTGGTCATTGCAAACGTGGTGTTTCCACCACTCACGAGTTATCCTCCGCACATACCCGTCAGTCACATGTTTCAGGACCACTTTGGACAGCGTCGGTCGATGCGACCACAACACCGAAAGCGTGTGTTGTGAAAATCAGAAGCCTGCCATCTTCATTCCATATGTGATTCCTCATTGTCCGACTTGTCAAATTAGACTGTTGATGTACTCTTTAGTTGACAGCGTACAGTGTATTGAATCTCGGTTTGTTGCTGTGATCTGCGTCGGATAGTCTTCGTTTAAGTTACGCGCGTCTTGCCCAATTCCCAACTTAGTTACCATGTTTGTTTGATGCGGATGTCTGGATCGAATCTACTGTTACTCTCATTGTTAAGTTGTGTTAAGGAGCACGTGAATTTCATTGACCGACTGTGTATTTTCTCCGCTTGCTCATCATCTCACTTGAGTTAAACCGGCGAGCCGGCATTTGTGGTGGTACTCGTTTTTCCATATGATTTGTCTAGAAAAGTCAGCCATACGAAATAGAGATTCGTCGTTGATGCGAACGTGTATCATTCTGTTTCTTAATCAAATTCACATTAGCAGGTCTAGACGGATCCACAGTATGAGTTACAACTTGAGCCTCGTTGTTGTACAATCTCGTCCCGCTGTGATTCTTTACACGATACTTTTCATTAATTTAATGCGGACCTGGTAAGTGCAAAATGTCCCGATTCCGCGGTTTGTAATTCAATACCTCACACAAAGACTCCATCCAACCAGCACACTTTTAATCTACCGCGTTCCCCAGAGCTTAATGGATCCAGCGGTATCCCTCATCTTTTTGCCCAATTCATCTTGTTTTTACTACGCACTCACCCGGGTTATCAATGTGCAACCTCCTTAACTGTTGAGTGGGTATTCCATTTCAATTCGCAGCCTACTAAGGTATCACAAGGAGATGCTCGTATCATTTAATTCTATTCAACTCTTGTCGGTTCTCTCCGTCTTGGCCCATTTTCGGTAAGCTCTAAAAAACTTTGTGAGATAAATAGTTTGTATAACATTGTTGGTGTCTACGCCTAACTTCTCGAATTGATTCCTTCGGCGTCTCTACCCGCATCTTTTGACTTACTACAAACAGTATCATTCTCAATTCTAACTAGTGAACGCTACCACCAAATGTCGTCTACAATTTTTCTTGCGTATGCTTAATACTTTGTTCTCTACCTTAGGCATTAACCACCGGGATGGTTACATGAGTGTGTTGATCTGGGTACACCGCACTTCAAGCGTGCAGTCACATTGTTTGTCTGCTTTTCCTCCTGATAGAGGAATTGAGTTCTGTCCTATTCCAGGCATCTCGTACAATGCAAAAATGTCGTCAGTGCTCTTGAATGGGGCTGTAAAATCTCTGTAAATAGAAGCGCTGATCAAGCGATCGCTTAGTCTCACAAGTTATCACTAAGCGAGGCCATGCTGGTCAGCCACAGATAGGAATGTTTCACTGCCATTGGCGTGTTTCCTGTTTACCATTTAACCTACGGTATACCAGGTACTGACGACTAGGTCCACGTTTACCTTCGTCGCAACAGTTTCAAAACCACTGAGGATCATTTTGACTCCCTGGAGCGTTCAACTCTAATGCAAGCAAGAATATTCTGATATGTGGTTTCGTGCGTCCTCTTCGTGATTATTAATGAGATAAAAATATCCCGGGAATTCTTGTCTTCCGGATCTGTTACTGATGTGTTCACGGCATCGGATATTAATTCCCCACGTAAGATGTTTTTGTACGCCTTTCCTAGCTCGTTTCTTCTTTACCTTACATGTTTGCTCCGTCGTTCATTGGGTTGAGCACAAATGCGTTCCCCATTTTTACCTCTAAACTATACGTTTGGCGGATTCAGTGCTTAGATTACCCATGACCTTCTTTACTCCGGATGAAACGCAAGCATTACGAAACCTCCGAGCATCCTCATATGAAATTGACTACATCCGACTAGTTTCAGCTGATTGCTGCTACAACTACCTTTCTTACCAATTCACACAATTGTCGGCATCATCTCTGAGTCTGCTCTCGTTATCAACTGTGTACTCTCAGTGTGTTTTCACTTCTCACACTTCATTCGCTTCCTTTTTCCTCTTGTTGATCTCTTGTTGGGTACGAATCCGAGAGAAATTCTACACATCATTATACAACATTAGTAGACAGGTACCCCTTCATGTAAACTTTTGTGGTACTGCGTTGCAATCCATTTTTGTTCGTTTCCAGTAGACGTGATCGTACAGAACGTTTTATCGGGTTTATGATGGCTACCATCCTATGTCCTCTCTCGAGCCATCATGACCGTTGGGCGAGCACAGCCACTCGAATAACTGAACACTTTTGATCTAGTATACATATTAGGGGTACGAAACGTTATTCCGGACGAAACATTCACACACATGTAGTGCTTTCCTGAGTCCACCATTACTCAGTTCTGCGTAGTCATGTGCCATTTCCATGCATAATGATCCGCTTTTATGTGATCACTGAAGAGAACGCGAAATTTCGATTAGATAACCGCTCCGTTCACTACTCTAGATGAATTTTCACTTTCCCCTCTAATT